GTACAACTCGTCAAAGAGACAAGTGAAGTCGAAGGCCCACTGACAATGTCGGCGAAACGTCTGGGAATCAACCAAATCCACAGTTCGACTCTGGAGATTATCATAAATACTATGGATTTCGGACAAGATGCATTAGTCTAGGTCTTCCTGTCAATGTGACCAACTTAGGAAAATAAGGTCAAGCAACTTCTATAACTATGTACAACTCATGTCAAGATGGGATTTATAAGGGCTACTTAGCACAGCTCTATGTATGAATGCGATTGACGATATTTCCATCTTCGAACTTAATGCAAGCAAATTTGGTGACATCGTAAAAGGGAGATACATTTTCTGGTAGTGGGCTCCTCCTCAGAGACAGAAAAATTTATGCATATCCTTACAAGTTCATAGGAGGACCGGATTTGTACAAGATAAATTTTATAAAGCAGACGCAAAAAGATCAGGCACTAATGACTAGTCCTTTGTGTAGCATTGTAACTTTTTATTAAGATTTTTATGCCTTTTTCCTTTTCTTCCCACTCTCATATTTGGCCTCGAATAGCAAACCGTATCGGTTAAATGTTCAACAGCATGAAATCAAAGTGATCAGAAAGAAGAGGCATGTCGTTGAATTATATGAGCAAATTATAACGATTAACTCTAATGCTTGAAACTGATTGTGCTTGGGCACTCCCGTTGCCAAATTCAACAATTTTGAAACTAAGGGATTTAAAGGAGAAATCCAAAGAGAAATATTCAAAGGAAAAAGAGGAAAAGGCATTAAACAGGACAATATTAGTGAAACAAGTCGAGATGGGCTGACAAAATTGCGAGCAGAATGAAATTGGAAAGCAACAAAATGGAGAAGAAAAAATAGATAATAACAAATAGGAGCTTGAAAGGATTCCGGTTTCGAGGTGGACAAACCAGAAGCTAGTCATGAGGGAGCAGGTAAGAAGAAGATAAAGACAAACTAGTGACAGAAAGCCTTGTAAGGTCGCTTTAAGAAATAATGGGAGTAAGGATGAAAAGGCAGAAAAAGACTGAGTGACTAGGTAGAAGCAAACCAAAATAAAAACGACATGTATGTAAATAAATATACGAAATAGTAAAGTAAGATTAAATTTTAAATTACTATCCGACATAAAACAAAAAATAGATTAAGGCAAATGGGTTCCAAAAAGTGCCTAAGGATGATGATAACATCTTTATCCTCGTGTAGGAATATTTCATATACAGAAGAGCACGAAAAACTGCCAAAGCGAGAAGTGTAAAATCTTGCATCGATAATATAAGGGTAGCAGTCCTCGGAACGATATATTTCGACTTCAGCAAGAACTCCAACAAGTGGTGGATATTTTTGGAGTGCTCGTCACCTTAGAGATGATGATAATAAAGGAAGATGTACGATCAAGATCAAATAGGATTAGCCACATAAAAAAGATAAAGCAGAGTTAATCCGTAAGAGGACTCATGAACGTCTAGATTGGCGCTGCCAGTAAATTCCAATCATCCTTAAGCATAATGAGAAGAAAAACAATATGAACAAGCAACACGTGTATTAAGACTCTCCTGTCGAAATAACTCCTGTCTTTTTCGCTAGAGGAACGTGGTAGATAAGCTCACATGTGCTTTCTTTCGCACTTGCTGCGCAATGAAATAAAGGAGCATGCCAAAGAGAATGGCTGCATTCTTAGACCGGCTCTCGGATAGTCCGAACACTTACAAACACGAGAGAAATAAAAATAAGAGAATTATCTATAAGTTTATTTATGCAGGTGAGAAAAAAAAGAAATTTGTATACGTTCACACATGAGGAGAGCATGAATAGGAGCCAAATAATGGGATAAATACATAAATTGAGCTGACAAGTGACCAAACATGAGTTAACCAAATAATACCAATTCAACTGTATAATGAGTATTAGATAGGTTTATATAATGGAAGGAGCAAATGATTAAATTTAGTAAATGAATCAGCTAATAAAGTAATCGACAAGCAGGTTTACATTAATTTATTAAATAAAAGATTGAGAAATAGCTTAAAGACAACAGAATAAGAAAGAGTATGCTAGAAGAGAAGAGTCGGAAGAAAAGAAAAGAGAAGAATAATGTTAAGGCATAAAGGAATAAAAAAGGAGACGGCCCATAAATTCTGTCCCCTCAACGCAAAGGACACATGGCACATAAGTATATGCATGCGTAGGGAAATGTGCAAGCGCAGAGAGGAAGAGAGATATGGATGTATAGGCGCAAATTTTGACGGAAAAACGTAGAGACAGACAGCCTGAGACTGAAATAGAAATAGGAATATAGAGAAGCAGGACAGGACAAGCAACATGGGACGCATTTATAGGCAAAAAGACAAACACACCCGCAGGCACAAGCATAGCTAGGCAGGGAATGGTGGACGAAAATAGACTGGCAGAAATGGGAATAGATAGGCAGTGGAACAAATAGATGTACCAGTGGTCACAATGGCAAATACACACCGGGCAAAAAGAACGAGTGGACAAATAATAGGATGAATAGGCTTGCAGACGAAGCATTTGTCTATTCATTCATGTACAGATGAACCCACTACTGGCATCAGGTAAGCAGGCGATTTGTCAGTGAGAATGCTCTTCAGAATTAATGAGGATGGCGTAGAACCGCGATGAACCACCGCCAAATGCGCCTGAATGCAGTCCCGTCTGCGGATGTGAGTGTCGCAGGCAAATGGACTAACAATTCAAGCGAACAGGCGGTAGGATCTGGTCAACTGAACTGGGCGTGTAAAGAGGGAAAACCGGAGCGCCGGATCACCGGTCGGATGGCCTTCTGTCGCCTCAACAGTGACGGCATCAGGGTCGCGTCCACTTTGTCCTTTTCAGCCGACAAGCTGCGACTGGATCCAAGTGAAAGCTAGCCAGCACTATGCTTAGTCGAAGTGACTTCCAGAGCCGACTACAGACAGAACACCATTGAATTGGCAACCTAAAAAGTTAATGGCATTAATGCTGCCTAGCACCGGAACTACTCCTACTACTGATCAAGCTAACCAGTCTGTCAAGGGCACAAGTACGATTGTCCACGCAAATTAGTATAAGGAACGTGTCAGCATAAGTACAAATACAGTAAACTGAAACAAATGCCATAGGTGTGTCGCATGTGTGTTAGTGGATAAGTGGGTGGAGGAGTGGGAAAACTTCAAAAGACGACCTAGAAGAAATGTGCGTGTGTGTGTGCATTTACGGAAAAATGAGTTGAAGACCGAAGTGGAGAAGTGTAAAGAATGAGTGTGCATCGTTTGTGTCCGGCACGAATCCAAGTGGAGAAGGATAGTCAGGACAGAGCCGAAGGAGGGCTTGGCCTCGCCTACACTAGCCTACAACAGATACAGTCCACACAGACACACTCCCATACAGAAAATGGCAAGTGTGCAGACACACATAGGGTTACGCAGGCAAATAGGCGAACCTGCTCCACCCCCTACAAGCCGCAATCCTCAGACCTAGGCTTCATCCCGCCCCGTCCATCCAAATAAGAGGAATTGCATCATGCCAGTCAAAGCATCTGTCTATCTCTTCCGGGCGGAATAGCGTATGTCGGAAGACCGGCTGACCGACTTTCTGCCGTCGAGAAATGGGGAAAAGAAAGGAAGCGGGAGAAAAGAAGAGAGAATGGCCAAGACCATGTGCACATGTTATGCTAGTCTGTATGTCCATGCCACAAAACAATGTGCACTCATGCGGATGGGTAAAGGAAAGAAAGACAAAATGGATACACTAGAGAGTGCTGTAGCAGGAAGGTCTGGATCAAGGCGATGAGGACTGACGCTGTAGATCAACAGAGTTGTGACATCGAAAGGGGTCGAGCAAATCGCTCATGTGCACACATGACATTTTCATTCAT